GATGTTTAACAGAGCAAGGAAATTTTGTCATTTTGGACAGTATGTCTGATAATATTTTTTCTTCTTGAAAAAGTATTGTTTGTTTTATTTCAGCTAGAATAAAAGCATTTTTAAAGTTTTAATTTTTTAAAACACCATTTTAAGGACAAAATTATTTGCCCCTTTAAGCTATAGTTTTTCGATAGTCTACAGAACAAACCACTGTTATACATTAACTTGCCTAATTACCCTAACCTGCCTAGTTAACCCAATTAACCTAGTTAAGTGTTAAATGTCACTTTAAGCTGTATAGAAGTGTCTTGAAAAATATCTAGTAAAATATTATTTACTGTCATTAGAAATGACTTATCAAAACTAATATGTTTAGAAATGTGTTGAAGAAATCTTCTCTCCGTTAACAAAAGTTGGGGGAAAAAATAAACGGGGCTAATAATTCTGACTTCAACTACATGTGTGTATATATAAGTCATTAAAATAACAGAAAAAGTACAGGAATATGCAGGTTTTTGTATTCATGGCACCACTTTAGGCCATATTTCACTTCAAACTATTAAGAATGCCAAAAGTCACTTTTTGACATTTAGACTTTAACTTTTTGAGTTCAAAATATCATAATTCAATTCAAAAGCATAAATAAATTGACCCACCCCACACGCATAAAAAAGTACTTTCTGCCATGCCTGATTGAGGTTTATATTGGTAATTATGTATAGACTCTATGAATGTTGAGTCTGTGAATCGGCCAATGGTCTGCTCTGTCATCGCTACTCTTTGACACTCAGCCAATAGTTTCAGTGTTGTGAGTAATGACAGGACATCTGTCCACTGACATGTCTGCTTATTCTTCTCTGTATAGACAGAGGCTCCAAGGGCACCCAAATCACTGAGACTCTGACAGGACACACACCTCCTCAACACACCCTTTGCATCTCAGCCTCCAAACCACACAAAAATAGTCTCTATAACACCCAATCTAATGGATTCTTGCCACTGAAACTCTAAGATGAAACAACTAGCGATTGTCAAGTACTGACAGCTTCATATCCAATCAATCAGGCTCATTGCGGATTACTTGCATAGTCACTGTATTCATTTGCAATGTTTTTGTGCCTGGGAAAAAAGGTTTCATGTTCATGCCATTACATGGTGTATAAACGAGCTATAAGACTTAAAACAGATTGTTTATAAGTAAGCAAAAATTCTGTCATCATTTACTCACCCTTCACTTGCTCCAAAACCTGTTTCTTTCTACTGATTAACACAAAAAAGTTCTTTTAAACAATGTTGGAAACTGGTAGCCAAACACTACAGTACTGACTATCATAGTATAAGACAATGGCTACCCATTCCTAACATTTTTCATCATTTTTGTTTCAGGATAGTTTTGAATGATCACTTTTAGGTTATCTGTTGCTTTGTTTTTTGTTTGTTTTTAAAGAAGAACTAAATCCGACTGGCTGTAAATGATCCTTCCAGTCATATTAGTTGCCAGGTTGCCAAAATACAGTTTTCTTTAAATTGAATGCATACTCCTTTGCAGAATATGCATGCTAATAATTTTACGGAATAAGAGGAATAAGGAGAACTGGCTAAACTGGACTTTTTTTAGTCTAAAAATGTGTGGCTAATGAAAAAAAAAAACTAAGCATATGCTTCTTCATATTATTTTTCACGTATAAGTTAAAGAGTATTGAATTGTGATCCATTGTTTTGCTTGGTTCACTAATATTTTTGTAGTTATTTTTTACATGGTCAAAGTGTAAAATGTGTAAAAAAAAAAACAAAAAAACATGTCATATCGTGTCATATTTGATTTTATTTTAATTTAAAGAAACTAATAGATGAACACGCATACACAAATGCATCAAGCTTCCAGTTGTGAAATCTACAAATCGAGCATGAACTTGTAATTGTGGCATCTGAATGGCTTTAGATCTTCTGTAATTATTGTCATTAGCATATGAAAGATCACCAGTTAACATTCATGACTTGGTAATGATCTTTGAATGGTCTTTAATGGACAACGGCTTGACGTGTGCGTTCTTCATCCCTTTTCCACAATGCAGAGCTCCCACTCTAAACAAAATGTCAAAATCCCAGACTTTTACCTGATTTTTCATGACCTATGACCTATTATGGCTGAAATTCCACAACTTATCCACCTTATTTTATTATGTTTTCTTTCATTCTAAAGTTGTAGAATTTTTTATTTATTTTTTAGATTTAGTTTTAATAATTAGTTTTCATTTTAAAGAGATAATTCACTGATAGTTCACCAGTTATTTTAATCATTTGAGTTTCTTTAAATAAAAGAAATAAAAATAAAAAAAAGATAGTATCCTCATTTTTATAACGTTTTATTTTGTGTTAAGTGGAAAAAAATAAACAAATCTTTAGAACCAGATGAGGGAGAGTAAATACATTTTCAATTGTGGGTGAACAATCTCTTTAAGATATACTTTAGTCAAACTAAATGAAAATCTGATTAAAATAAAATATAAAAAAACAAAATAAAATACATTTGTTTTAAGATAATAATAATAATAATAATAATAATAATACTGTTTAAGTTTTATAGAGTTGGTTAATTTTTATTAACCCTTGTTCACTCATTACTTATTTAAAAAGTTCATGCATCATGTTGAGATTTCAAATCTGACACAATGCTGGCATTCAGACAGACATATTAGAAAAATTTAGGCTTTTCATAAAGACTAATGAATTATTGAAGTAAAAACAGAATCAATTATATGTAAACTTATGATCAGGACAATTTGTGTACATTCTGTTGTGGGTTTTAAACATGTTATACCAAATACCTATTTTATTAATTATTAAATTATATTAAACTATTTTATTTTGTTAAAACTATTATCATCTTGCATATTCTACAAGTGGTATGCAAACTTATAAGCATAATTGTATTTACCCACTGCATTTTTATTAATGAGTTTTAAAAAGTATCAAAAGTTGATAAATCAATTATGAGAAAAGTAAGGCCCTTAAAAGGTATTAAAAAGTCTTAATCACATTTTTACAAGATCTTAAATTTTGTTCAAGCACTGTCCAAAAAAGCATAAATATAGTTATTGTCCTCCTAAAATTAACAACTAAGTGCTCGATCCGCACGATTGGTTCGAGACAGGGTGCAACCAGCCAAACTCCTCCGTCCAGGGGATGTCACGTAATTTGCGACAAATGCAGGAGGGTGATGTGACGCTCTTCACTTGTAGAAAAAACAATAGAGCAAAACAGATGGTAGAATGGGAAATGGGAAAAATACGAGTTTAAACAGTGGCTGAAGCCTGTCGCTGAAAACAACCACGTAATTTATTCTTTCAAGCTTTGTTTCTTCCAAACTTATCTGAGTTCTGTTGCATGGTTGTGCTCCATTGATTTATTTAACTACAACTGTTGTGAAAGGTTTGATACTGATTAGAATTTGAAGTAGTGTTGAGGTCCTAAAATATAATGACAAGGTCTTTAAAAAGTCTTTAAAAGGTATTAAAATTACCTTTAGGATTCCTGCATATTCAATTCAACTCAATTCACCTTTATTTGTATAGTGCTTTTACAATGTATATCGTGTCAAAGCAGCTTCACATAAATGGTCATAGTAACTGGATCAGGGTAGTTCAGTGTTTAGTGTTTAAGTTCAGTTTAGTTTAGCTCAGTTCAGTGAGGTTTAAAGTCATTACTGAGAGTCCAAGCACTGAAGAGCATATCCATCGATGTGTAGCTCTACAGATCCTGAACCATGCAAGCCAGTGGCGACAGCGGAAAGGGGGAAAAAACAAAACAAAACATATACTCTGAATCAGGCTGTAATACATGACATGCAATTCAAGATTGTTAATATTTCAGGTAAATGTTTTTTTTTTTTACAGGCATCATTTTTTATGCTTGTAATTTTCTATATTTACATACATGATCAACATAACTTAATAAGCATTTTTTTAAATAACATAATAATGCTAACACAACAAATCAATCAATCAATATCATCAATAATTTATTTATTCTGTTACTGACAAATAAGACATTTAAACAAAGCTGAAAACCTGTAACCATTCACACCTATAGAAGTTTTTTTTTCTAAATATCTTCATTTTAGCATTAGCAACATTAACAACGCTAAACAAAAAAGATGTGAAACGCAAGAGTAAACGATGACTAAATTTTCATTTATGTGAACTTTCCCTTTATTGTAGCAGACTCTGATTATTTTCTCACTTTCCAGTAATCGTTTATATCTTTACTGAACCCTGGAAATAAAATGCCTTCAATTCAAATAAATGTATTAATACAGATTAAACGGGGCCTTGTTTCAGAGCATCAAGTCATCAAACATTTTTATGATGACCTCTTCCTCTCTTAAATCCAGAAGGCCTGACTTAAGAAAATGCGCCTGTCGCCCCCTCCAGACTTCGGGACAGGGCGGTTTTATCTCTCACACAGGCGGCGTAATTGATGGCACAATAGCAGCTCAAGGAAAACAAACCCACAGACACTTTTCAGGCTGTCGCTGGAACACAAACCCGGAGCAGCAACAGAAGGACAAGGTGCCGCGGACGGAGCCCTGCGCTGACAGCCTATGATAAAGCGGCCTTCCTTAACTAAACTCGTAAAGAACGGGACAATAAAACTCAATCTTCTGTAAAATCCAATTAAGTCATTATCTGACTGATTGTATCTTTAATTGAAAACAGAAGTGACAGTAAATTTCTGTGATATATCAGGATCAATCGATACTGCCGTACAATCTGCTCTCCAGAAGTGATTTATAATGCCAAAGCCATATAGGTAACTCCACATTCTTCTCACTAAAACCACTGGGGGATGAAATTAAGAGTAAGTGCGTTTAATAAAAAAAACAAGATGGCCAGGTTATTGATTACAGCAGATGGGGCAGAATCGAATGAATGTTTTCAGGGTGCAGAGCAAAGAAAATACAAGTAATTTTCATTTCGGGTTTTATAACAGTCAACAGCCTTGTGAAAGTCAGTCATCAATAATGATTTTATTTCCACTGAACATAAGAAGATAAGCACACAACCATTGCAAATTAGCTTTGGTCTTGTTTTGTAATGATAACAAATAAAATTTTTGTAACAGCATGGTGTTGGTGAATGAGAGCTCACCGGTGAAACAGTGGGTGAGTTAACACAAAACCAGAGTGTGGAAAACAAATGAACAAATTAATTAACTGTTAGTCTTACTAAACAGTGCAAACTGTTGAATATGTGCATTTTCTAATTACATTTTTAGTTATCTTTAGAAAAAAAACATGAATGAATTAATTTTTGTCTTGGCTTGCTACACAATAAAGTGATAATTCACCCCAAAAAGAAATTGACTGTTAAATTGCTCACACTCAGGCTATTCGAGATGACTCAGGTACTTAGTGAATCATAAATACAAGTCAATGCCTACTGGCACTTGGAGAGTTTGACAAATACATAGAAAGACTAAATATTTTTACCTGTGGTTCTTAATGTTCCATCAATGTAAATGTATGTATTTTTCTTCCACAGAACTATGTATTGTCAGTAGCCAATTGTCTTTTTTTTTTACTTTTAAAGTATCAACAGCTACTTACTTGCATCTAATTAATCATGCCAAAGAAAGATTAACCTACATCTTGGCCTTAGAGTGAGAAAATTGACAGCACATTTCTTTTTTTGGTGAACCATCTACATAATACTGAGTTCCAGTACAGAAAGAAGTGCAAAAGTAGTACTTACTGTCAAATCTTAAAAACAAAGCTCTCTATTATAAAAACAAATGCAAAACTTAAAAACAGATTGCACTTTGAATGCCTTCCCAAAACATTTAACACTTTGTTTCATTCAAAATACTGAACATGGCCACATTTGTAGTTAAATGCACTGTCATTACAAACCCCTGCAACAAACAGAGTCTGAAAGAAAACAAAGTTTTTGTCCCTCTTCTCCTTTGCCATTCATTCATGACTCGACTAAGGACACTATCTCTGCCAACAGCATTAAAATCAAGGGCACAGCTCCATATTATACAAAGAAAGCTCGGAAGAGTCGAGCACATTAGCTGGATCGGGTATAGGATCGGGCTAGATGCAAATCATCAAAAGTTAAATGATGTCCTTTAGTGATGGCCATAAATAAACAAGCCATCCGCTGCGAGATTGAAGCATAATTTAATAGTATCTCTTCTAACCCAACTAGTCCCACAACAGCATGGAGATGCTGGAAAAGCCCTCATATAGATTGCATCATGAAGGTCGCGGGAAGGAAGTTAGATTATCCATTAGGCCAATGACAGCAATATTGAGCTTCAACTGATGTGCGACAGTAAATCGTTCTGCTCTGCCATTTCTTTCAATAGTGTTCTTCTAGATAGTGGAAGTAAATCATTTTAACCTTTAAAATCTGCAGCAGTAAAGTGAACAAAGCTAAGCTATCAAACTGTGTGAAACATATTAGTAAACTATGTAAACAGCATTTCTTGTCATCGATGACAACAATCGAGTTAACAATAAAAGTCAAAACCTTATAGAACGACCCCTAAAAAGAGAAAAAAAACAGCACTGTGATCAACCTGATCAGTATTATTGGAAACATGTTGGTTACAGAATCATTACACATTTGGCTGAAAATAACAGTAACTTCTCATTTAACAAAAAATTCAAGTTGTTGTAACTGGCAGCTGGAGATGGTCTTTCATTTGGTGGCCCCCTCTATGATGGAGTCGACTGAGAAGCTTCCAGACTCTGAACTGCTTTCACACTCCAGCTTGTTCTCAGCGTTGATCATCGAGCTGATGGACACAGAGTCTTGAGCTCCATCGGAGAAAGCTGAAATGGGATGGATCATGAAACATGAACTATTTGGTGTTTATTATTGGCGACTTCTTTTATGCCAGAGCGTAATCTGGTTTGGGCATCTGTGATAAAGAACACCTGACGCATGCATGTACTGTAACATGAGCTTTTTTGGGTTCCTGTCATTTTCTCATCTAATGGCATGCACAGTAAAGTACAATGGTGCCAAAAAGTATTTGGAAACTTGAGCTACACTTGAAAATGTCTTTGCATTAGAAACAAAATATCAAGCCAAGAAGTGTTTATACCTGAGATTCAGAAATCTCAGGCATGTTTTTTTCCAAGTAAAAGAAATCTGGTTAAGACTTAACAATAAACAATAGAGGCATCATTCAAGATTAAAGGTGTAGTTCACCCAAAAACAAAAACTTCACCATGTAATTACCCTTAAATGGTTTTAAACATCTATGCATTTTTTAGTTTTCTGTTGAGCACGAAACAAGATTTTCTAAAGAATGTTAAAAAACAGCAGCCATTTTCATAGCAGGAACAAAAAAATACTATGATAGTTAAAGGTGCAGTAGGTGATCTGGCAAAATGCTATGCGTTAGCATAATAGCTTTGAAAACACAGTGCCTCCCCTGCCATCCAAAGCCACGCGTCCCGAAATCAGGAACGTGCACTCATAAAGATGACAGTAGACAGCCCACTAGATCATGTCATTCCCCAGTTAGAAAACTTTACAGCACTTTATACTGCAGGTTTTCAGTTGTGTAGGAAGCAAAACCTGTCATAATGTGCAATATTTCAGGCATGCAAGGATCGTGGGTCTCACTCTCTCATGCGCGGTCCTAAATCAACTACTGTATGCTTAGTGGCTGGCCGGCAGGTTGCAGGAATTACACTTATTACTGAACCATACTTACATGCTATTTCAGACCAAATATTCAGAGTGGCATGGTAAACAATATAGGGAGCGTGTCACAAGTCGTCATTGTTCAAAAATGAACCAGTGTGAAAATAAAACCAACTTCACCTCAGTAAAGCAGGCTAGCCGGAATAGCGCTATTTACTTATGTTTTGTTGTTAAACTAAATAAAAATATATTATTGATGCTGTAAAAGCTCCCTTATGAATTTTCAATTCAATTCAATTCAGCTTTATTTGTATAGCGCTTTTACAATGTAGATTGTGTCAAAGCAGCTTCACATAAATGGTTATAGTAACTGGAACAGTGTGGTTCAGGTTTTAGGTTTTAGGTAATTTAAAAATAGTCACATCAATCTTTCACCGAAAGATTTCAGTGACTGAACAACACTTTTGTGCATATAACCCATTCATAGGACAAACACATCTAGATCAGCTTTGCGTGACTAAAAGGGTTTTAAAATAGAACATAACCTGTCTAAAAGAAATACTTCAGCCAGCCATGGTGTCGTCCTTTCTCCAGCATGCAAAAGTGACTACAATATTGATTCAGGAGTTTAAAAAGTTTTGATTGAGCATTTGTTTTTACTGCTCTTCATATAAATATAATTACATTTAGATCATTTACTTTAGTCATTATATTGGAATGTAAAGAGATTTTCAACCGGCACAACAAAAAAAAATTCTGAAGACAATCACCTACTGCACCTTCAATGGTAGCCACTTTCCAGCATGCTATAGTCTACAGAAGAAATAAACAGGTTTGAAACAAATGGAGGCTGAGTAATTAATGACAGAATTTTCATTTTGAGTGAACTATCCCTTTAAGGTAAAAAGTATTTTTGTTCTTTTATGTAGACCTGTCTATTCTCATTTCTTATACTGCCAATGAAAAGCTTAAAGTTTGTAAGATCTTTTTGAAAGATGTTTGTTTTTGGGGGAAAAAAAGTTTCATGTTCGCAAAAAAAAATATATATATATTATGACTTTAATAACCATTTAATATTTTATTATATTTCTAAATTAATTTATTCAGGTGACTGTAAAACTCAATTCTTAGAATAAACTGAATAAGCTGAATAGCATTAAAAATTATATCAATGTTGAAAATGCAGCTTAATATTTTAATATTTAAAAAAAAAATGAAAATTGTGTTATGAATTACTTATCCTCATGTAGTTCCAATCCTCTGAAACCTTCAATCATTTTTAGAACACAAATTAAAATATTTTAGATGAAATTCTAGAGCTCCCTCATCCTCCATAGACAATAATGTACCTGGGATGTTCTCAAGTCATTAAAAACTACTTTGTTCGCTAGTCTTCTACATCAGGCCAGACTGCGCGTTTACTAAAATCAATACAATGCTTGAGTAATGTGCTGATGAATTTAATGGCAATATGTCATGCTGACTGTTGTAAACATGTACCCTGATCTGACACAAAAGAAAAGGCATTAATAAAAATTTTTTATTTATTTATTTTTGCACACAAAAGTGTTGTTGGAGTGTTGTATGATTACACTTGAACTACTAAAGCCACATGGAAAGTTTTGGTAATATTTTTTATTCTGGACCACCATCACTGTCTATGGAGGATAAAGGAGCTTTCAGATTTCATCTAAAATATATTAATATGTGGTCCAATAATGAACAATGTTCTCTGGGGATTGACAAGACACAAGGGTAAGCAATTACAAACAGAATCTAAACTATATTTATTTATTTATTTAATTTTTTTGTGAAAACTCACCCTTAAAAGTAATCTTGATGCAAGTTTGAAATGTTATATATAGTATTCGGAAAAACCTTATTATTAGTAACACTGGTGGCTAAGTAAACTGCAGCAAATAATACTGTGCTCGTGTTTGCACTTGAATGTATTAGAGACTTTAATGAGGATGATTTGATGACCCAACTCACAGCAATGTTCTTTTTTGTCCTGCATATAGAAGTAGAACTTGAAAATAAATGAGCAAAAATGTAATAATGATGAACATCACCAGTCATGGTGTTGAGAATAGTTAGATTAATATTTAAATATGTGCTGTGCTATTCCCAATAAAATAACATCAACAAAAATGACAGCATTGAGAAAACAGCAGTATAGAAAGCATCTGATCACAGTGATGTGGATGCGTTTGCACAAGCTCTCTATGATTCAATTATAAATTATATAGAATTTAAGCTATGGATATGTGACATTATAGTGTGTATTATTATTTTAATCTTACAGCTTTATCCTGAAGAATGTATTTGTTTCATGTATCATAGAACAGAAGAAAGCCTCTGAAATTCTTGCTTAAAAAAAGTGTTTAAAATATTTTCTAAACAACCTAAATGTCATTTTTCCCTCCAGCTTTGTTTACACTTTGGCAATAAAAAAGTAACAAATTCATGAAAATCATTTTAAAATCAGACAAACAACAAATGATAAAAAAACAATGAATTGTGTTTATACGACAGTAATGTAATTAAAAGTTACATTTTTGACAACAATTTTGTTTCTGTTTCTTTTCTTTTTTTTTAAACAAACTCACTGCAAAACATTTGTGAGATGCAGAGCAACAGTACAGTATTGCATTTCTGAATGAATCTACCTTTGAACAAGTCAATTTAAGTCAATGACTTAATGACTTGCGTGATTTTTAAGCTGTTCTGGTGCGCATCTGAGGCCGAGTTCTGTTCTTTTGCCTAATTTGCCTTTTTTATATTGTATTTTATTCATGTTATAGTTACTACGAATAATGTAATGCGCGACACAATGGCTCAATAGGTAGCACGATCACCTCGCAGCAAGAAGGTCAGTTGGCATTTCTGAGTTTGCATGTTCTCCCCGTGCTCGCGTGGGTTGCCTCCAGGTGCTCTGGTTTCCTCCACATTTTAAAGACATGCGCTATAGGTGAATTGGGAAAGCTAAATTGGCCGTATGTGTGTGCATGAGTGTGTATGGATGTTTCCCTGTACTGAGTTGCAGCATGGAAGGGCATCCGCTGTGTAAAACATATGCCGGATAAGTTAGCGGTTCACTCCACTGTGGCAACCCCTAATGAATAAAGGGACTAAGCCAAAAAGAAAATGAATGTAGTTATGATTAATGTATTTGTAAAAGAACACCAATTTATACGTGAAAAAAAATGTAAATAAAATATTGAACGCTACTTAAATTTTATAAACAATATCCCAATCTGGAAAGTGTTGTTGAAGCACTTCTTATTTTGAGATGATCAGCTTCTCCGGTCACACTTGACAGCATTAATTAAGCTACACTGTCAGCTCTCAACAATACAACAAAACAAAGACAGGGGTGCCTTTCCTGAATCTCACACCACAGTAAATTCTAGCTACTCTGACAAACTCACTCAAGCTGAAGATACGCGTTGAGTCAGTGAGACTGCTGAGCACACAGTGCAGGATGAGTCTACACTGTGCTGACCTTCTTCAGTGACTAATAACCAAACAACATTACTTCAGCACAAACAGATTCAATCAAAAACGTTAAGAAACAGATGCTCTGTTGGACATTAAACAAACACTGAGAGTCGTTAAATTTTATCAGTAGCAAATTGAATTACTTAAATTATGCAAAAGCGAAACTAGACTGCACAAATATTAAAGCTCCCAATAAACATGCATGATAGTTTGTGTATCCAGAAAGGTCAGCACTTGTCTCGAAGTGCATATATGAAGTGAATACAATATTAGAGCCTATCAAAGTTACGAGTGTTGAGAGCAGTGACACACAAATCCCGTTCAGCCGCTTTCCTGACCTTCATAACCCGAGGAAAGAAGCATAAAAGCTGTCGGTGTGCCTCTCATCCCTCCCTCTTTTCATCTGCCTCTCCTCTGGCGTGGATGTAATTAAGGGGCGCTGGTGAAAAGGAGTAATTTTTCTCCTCATTAACTTCCTGATTGGTTTCAGGCTACAAAACTTTGCGCTCCGCCTGCAGTTTGTCACCAATTCCAAACGGGCCAATCGTTAATACTAATGTTTGTGTAGCTAAACTGCAGCGGCGCTGTGTGTACAACAGTAGGGCTGAAAGAGGAGGGGCTGGAATTAGCCTTGCCGCTGTTAATTCTGAGGGAGTTCATCAGGGGGAAATCTATGGTG